TGGCCTGCTGTGTTCATCCAGCCCTGCACCAGCTTAGACTGTTTGTTTTGTCCTGTCTACTTCAATGCTGGAATTTCTAGGATTCTGCAAAAATTCTAGAGATTGTTGCAATCATGGACCTGTCGAAAGAGTTCAGAGACAGACTTTAAATTATCTCCTTTGTTTCACTCGTGCTGACAGACGTAGTGTGCATTTCTAATATTCCCACTTCAGATGGTATACTCAGTATTTCCTTTCTCTATCTCCTGCTTAATGTGTTTCTCAAAAAAATAAGGACAGCAAAAGTATTCCATTTGGTGATCAAACCATCCTGAACGTGCATACAGCAATCACAGGATCTTCCTAAAGTTGTCTGTGCATCTTAGTACACTTTTACAAAAAATAAATCTTAGCTATTTTAGAAACAAAGTTTATGAATGTTTTATATGCAAAAGATGGTTTGCTATTTAACTTGAATATCCCCTGAAGAAACACGAATTGATTAATTTGTGTTTATATCAATTATAAATGTTGTCACTAAGCATTTTTGCATTCTTAAAAACTTTGATCAGATCCCCCCTTAACCATCGAAATTCTTGTGAAAGTAGGCCTTTTTTTGTATGATGTCTAATCATAGCTTAACCCCTTAAGTCCAGGTATCATTCTTGTAAACTTACTTTGCACTTCCCCCATAGCCAATATATCCTTCCTAAGGTGTGGTGCCCACATCTGCCCTCTGTACTCCAAGTGGGGTTTAACCAGGTTTTGTATAACTATAGCATAACTTCTACATGGAACAAAAACAAAGTTGCTGGAAAAGCTCAGCAGGTCTGGCTGCATCTCTGAAGGAAAAAACAGAGTTAACGTTGTGTGTCCGGAGAGTTCCTGAGTTCTGAGGAAGGGTCGCTGGACCCGAAATGTTAACTCTGTTTTTTCCTTCAGAGATGCTACCAGACCTGCTGAGCTTTTCAAGCAACTTTGTTTTTGTTCCTGATTCAAGCGTCTGCAGTTCTTTTGGTTCTTATAACTTCTGCATGCTTGCACTCCAGTCCTCTTGATATAAAGGCCAGCATTCAATTAGGCTTCTTGATTATTTTCTATTCCCATTCATGGCATTTTAAAGATCTACACACCTGAAGCTCCAAGACTTTTTGGACATTGAATGTACTCCACTTCATACCATCTAAAAATTACCTGATCTATCCTTTGTCGAGCCAAAATGGATGACCTCACACTTGCTTATATTGAACTCCATCTGCCGCAGTTTGCCCATTCAGTTGGTCAACCAGTATCCCTTTGTAATTTTATGTGATCATCAATACGGCCTACAAAGCTGCCTAACTTTGTGTCATCAGCAAACTTGGACATTTGACTCATGCCATTATCTAGTTAATAAATAATGTGAATAATTGAGGGCCTAACATGGATCCTTGTGGGACACCACTGGTCACATTCTGCCAATGAGTACCTAACCATCAAGCCTACTTCATCGCCTGCCACTCAACCAATTTCCCAACCATGTCAATAATTTGCCCTCAGTTCTGAGAGCTTCTGTCTTTGTTAACAGTCCTTTAGTGGGACTTTATCAAATGCCTTTTGGAAATCCATGCATAAGCACCATCCATAAACATTCTGAAGTCCATTACCTTAGTCACTGCTTCAAAAATTTAATGAGGTTTATCAGGTAACTATATATTTAAAGTACAAAAATCCAAATAAGTCAATCAGTCGTGGCAAACAAACGTAGTTCAGCATTTTACAAGATAAGGCCTATAAATTGTCAGGAAAATAAAAGTAAATCTGAGGAGGTTAAGAATACAGCAAAGAAGGACCAAGAAACTAATAATAAAAAAAAACAGAATATTACAGGCACAGTCAGGAGAATTTATAATGGGGAACAGAGAAATGGGCGAGAAGCTAAGTGATTACTTTGTGCCAGTTTGTCTGAGGAACATACAAGAAATCTTTGAGAATTAGAGATCCATGTGGTTAAGGAGAATGAGTAATTGAAGGAAATTACTTTTAGCAAGAAGAACGTACAGAAGAACTTAATGAGGCTGAAAGTTGATAAATCTCCAGGATCTGATAGTCTACATCCCAGAGAGTTCAAGGCAGTGGCCATGAAGATAAAGAAAAATGCATTGGTGATTATTTGCTAAAATTTTACAGATTCTGGAATGATTCTTGCAGATTAGAAGGTGGTAAATGTTACCCCACTATTTAAGGGATCAAGAGAGAAAACAGAACCACAGACCTAAAATAAAACAAAGAACTGTGGTTACTGGAGATCTGAATCAAAAACAGAATCTGTTGGGGAAACTCAGCAGGTCTGTCAACACATTTGAAGTAAATATAAAGAACTGTTCTGAGTTCGGTGACTCATCAGAACTCTGTTTTCTCACAATATATGCTGGAAGACCTGCTGAATTTCACCAGTAATTTCTGTTTCACCTCAGTCCTATTAGCCTTACATCAATAGGAGGGAAATGTTATAAAGGAAACTATAAAGATCTCACTGGGCACAGTCAGCATGAATTTCTGAATAGGTCGTCATGGAGAGGGCTTGGAAAATTTCAAAGATGTTATGAACAAAATTGATAAAGGACAGCCAAGAATGTAGCACAGCAAGATTAGAAGTCTTTTGTTGAAGTCCCCCATAGTAGGCTAGTTAGAAAAATTAAAGCACAAGGAATAGGACGTAATATACTGATATAAATTAATGATTGGCTAACAGGCAGAACCCAGTCGAAACATATGGGTCTTTCTTGCATTGGCAGGTTGTGACTAATGCGTTATTGCAATGACCACTACTTGGACCCCAACTGTTCACAACATATAAAAACCAAAAGAACTGCAGATGCTGTAAATCAGGAACAAAAACAAAGGAGCTAGAAAAGCTCAGCAGGTCCGGCAGCGTCTGTGAAGAAAAAATCAGAGTTAATGTTTCAGGTCTGGTGACGCTTCCTCAGAACTCTGAGGAAGGGTCAACGGACCCGAAATGTTAACTCTGATTTTTTTCTTCACCGATGCTGCCAGACCTGCTGAGCTTTTCCAGCTCCTTTTTTTTTGTTCACAAAATGTAATGATTTAAAAGTGAGGGTCCAAAGATAATATTTGCAATTTTTCAGATGATACAAAACTAAGTGGAGAGACGATGGCCGAGTGGTATTATTGCTGGACAGTTAATCCAAGAGACCCAGGCAACGTTCTGGAGACCCAGGTTCGAATCCCGCCATGGCAGATCGCAGAATTTGAATTCAATAAATATCTGGAATTAAGAATCTAATGATGACCGTGAATCCACTGTCGATTGTCAGAAAAACCCATCTGGTTCACTAATACCCTTTAGGGACGGGAATTGCCATCCGTACTTGGTCTGGCCTACATGTGACTCCAGACCCATAACAATGTGGTGACTCTTAACTGCAATTAGGAATGGGCAATAAATGCTGCCTAGCTAGCAACGCCCTCATCCTGTGAATGAATAAAAAAAAGTGGGAATGTGTGTTCTGAAGATGTAAGGCGGCTTCAGGAGGATTGGACAAGCTTAGTGAAAGGGTAAGAAGATGGCAGGTGTAATATAATGTGGAAAAATGGTAGGTTATACATTTTGGTAGGGGAAACAGATCTGCAGACTATTTTTTAAATTACAAGAGGCTGGAAAGTATAGAGGTACAAGGTTACCTAGTTGTCCTGGTCCACAAGTCTGTAGATAAGGAAGGCTAATGAAATGTGAGCCTTTAATGCAAGAAAATTTCAGTGTAGTGAAGTCTTGCTTCAATTGTAGCTTCAGGAGCTTGGTAAGACTGCACCTACTGAGTACTGTGCACTTCTGGTCTCATCTCAGGAAAAATGTTATTACCGTACAGTGAGGGTAACAAATGCTCGCCAGACTTGTTCCAGGGATGGATGGACTGTCCTAAGATTGGGTATGTATTCTCTAGAATTTAGATGAATGAAATTTAGAAAATACTCGAGGGATAGACAGGGTAGATGTATAGATTCATAGAATCCCTACAGTACAGATAGGGGCCATTTGGCACAGAGTCTGCACCGAACAGCATGCAGCCCAGACCTGTAACTCTGCATTTACCACAGCTAATCCACCTAGCTAACACATCCCTGGATATTGTGGGCAATTTAGCAGGGCCAATCCATCTAATGTGCACATCTTTAGATGGTGGGAGGAAACCAGAGTAACCGGAGGAAACCCATGCAAACACGGGGAGAACGTACCCACAGAGTGTCACAGGAACTGAACCCAAGTTGCTGGTGCCGTTAGGGAGCAGTGCTAACTGTTGTGCCACTGTGCTACCCTTCTTTCCCTTGGTTGGGAATTTAGAACCAGGAAGCATAATTTAAAAGTAAGCGGACTACCACTTAAGTCAGAGATGAAGAGAAATTATTTTACTTAGAGGCTTGTGAACCTTTGAAATTCTCCAGCACAGAGAATTGTGGAAGTTCAGTTTTTGAGTGTTTTATGTAAATATTGATAGATTTCTAATTACCAATGTTGTCAGGGTTATGGGAATGGGTGGGTAAAAGGCATTGATGTGTTCGATCAGCCAAAATCGTATTAAAGGCTGGGATAGATTTAATATGCTGAATGGCCTATTCCTGTTCCAATGCGCCAGCAAAGGTACAAAAATAGCAGTACTTACTATATGGTAATTTAGTACTTACATTGCATATAACATAGTACTTACTGGTTCTACCAAAAAGGACTCATTATTCCAGTCATGTTCCAGGAAAGTGATAGCATTCTGGAAGATACTGGCCCAGTTTTTGCAAACTAAGGGAAAGGACAGCAACAATAACTTCCCTGATGTTTTCTGGGCTTTTGAGCAAGCATAGTTTCCAAAACCCTTTTGCAATGCAATCAGACCAAAGGACATGTTTATATTGTGTCAACAAGTATGAAGTCTAATTCACTATAAAATCACATAGTTAAAGTGAAGGAGGGAATGAAACATATAGTCAAGTGAAATAAGGAGACAAAGACAGAACAAAGATCTTTTTAAGTCTGCAACATAATTCTGAAGGAATGATATTCCACCCTTACCACTTACAAATTTCGTTTCAGAGATTTGGCTATAATTATTGCCAAACAGAGTTAAAATTCAGTACCAGCTGAATACACCACTCCTAACCTCTTCCGTGTTTCGTGCACAACTAACTAGTAAGCAAATACAGAAAGTTCACATGTAGATTTCAATGTCAAGTCTATGGCTGAGGTACTGAGGTGCAGTAGGGTAACAATAGCAGCTTTCAGATTCCTGTATCTAGTTGCACACATGGACTTTAAGTTGATGGCCAATTTATTGCAGTAAATAATGGTTGCTTCACTGTTTTCAACAATAAAAATGCTGACCATTGAATTCAGCAACAAATGGAATCTAGAACACAACAGGAAAGAAAAAAAAACTCTGCAAAGCAAAACATAAACTTTAACTATCTAGTCATTAATAAAGCAGCTCAACATATTACTTTCCCAACATGAATTGGGATAGTCATAGTGTTTAGGGTTTACAGGGGGCGGATTTCTTGAAATGTATCTAGGGGAGTTTTTTGTATCAATACATAAAAGGCCCAAAAAGGGACAGTGCAGTGCTGGATCTCGTCTTTCTCCAGAACAAGTGTTTGACATGACAGTGGGGCAGCATTCAGGCAATAGTGACCACGACATGGTACAGTTCAAATTTATTCTAGCCAAGGAAAAAGATAATCTTGGATTGGAGGAAAAGGAGATTTTATTAAAATAAAGCAGGATCTGGCCACAGCAGACTGCAAACAGCTCCTTGCGGTTAAGTCTACAGCGGAGCAATGGAGGACATTCAAAAAGTAGCTGGGGAACAGTACCAGCCCCAACATGTACCCTTCAGAGGGAAATGGAAGAGCAATAAGTTCAGAGAACCCTGGATGTCTAGGACAATTCAAGAATGGACAAAGAGGAGGAGTAGGGCTTTTAGCAAGTCCAAAGTGAGCAATTCAGCTGCAGCCCTTGAGGAATACAGGAACTGCAGGAGGATACTTAAGAAAGCAATTAAAAGAGCAAAAAGGGGACATGAGAAAGGACTAACGAACAGGATTAGGGAGAATCCTAAGATATTTCATAATTACATTAAAGGGAAGGAAGAGAGTAGGGCACTTTAGCGACTGAGGAGACAATCTGTGTGTGAAGCCGTAGGATATTGGAAGGGTATTGAATGAATACTTCTCTTTGGTCTTCTCTCTGGAAAAGGAGAACTTAGGTACGGAATTTAGGAAACGGGATAGCGAGGAACTTGCAGTTTGACATAAGAAAGAGAGAGGTATTGGATACTTTGTCGGGCTTAAAAACAGACAAATCCCCTGGCCCTGATGGATTCCATCCACACCATGGGAGGCAAGGCAAGGCAAGAAATTGCAGGGGTTCTGACACCAATTTTTAATTCCTGTCTGGTCATGGGGGAAGTGCCAGAGGACTGGAGGGCGGCTAATGTGGTTCCACTTTTTAAGAGGGGTGGTAGAGATGAACCAAAATTAAACGTCAGTGGTAGGGAAACTATGGGAGCAAATTCTGAAAATACTGACGTGGAAAGGCATGGGTTAATTATGGATAGTCAGAGGGAGACCATGCTAAATATTTTATAGAATGCGTTGAAAATGTGATCATGAGTGGATGAGAGTAGTTTAGTTGATGTAGTTTATATGGAGTTTAGCAAAGTTTTTGACAAGGTCCCACATAGCAGACTGATTGAGAAGGTTAAAGCACATGGAATTGAGGGAAACTTGGCAACATGGATCAGAAACTGGCTTAGTAATACGACACAAAAGGTAATGGTAGAAGGCTGTTTGAGTGGCTGGAGGCCGGTATCCAGCAACTTACTGCAATGATCAGTACCAGGACCCTTATTGTTTGCTATATACATAAATGATATCGATGGAAATGCGGAGGGAATTTTAAGCAAATTTGCAGACAACACCAAGATTTGTAGAGTGCTTAATAGTGAAGAAGATGGTTGTAGGTTATGGAAGATATAGATTGGTTGGTCAGATGGTATTTAACCCTGGTAAGTGCAAGGTGATGCACCTTGGAAGAAGAAACAAGATGAGGGTCTATTTAATGAATGACAGGACACTGGGTAGATTAGAGGAATAGAGGGATCTGGGGTAATTAGTCACAGTTACCTGAAGTTGGCAGAGCACATGAACAGGATTGTTAAGGTGGCATATGAGACACATGCTTTCATCAATCATGACATAGAGTATAAGAGCAAGGAATTAATGTTGCAGTTGTACAGAGCTTTGGTCAGACCACAACTGGAGTACTGTGTGCAGTTCTGGTTATCTCACTACAGGAAGGATGTATAGCACTAAATGGGGTACAGACGAGGTTCACCAGGATGGAGAAATTGAGCTATAAAGGAGAGACTAGATAGGCTGGATTGTTTTCTTTAGAGCAGAGAAAGCTGAGGGTGGTACATAATTTAGGTGTATAAGATTGAGGGGAATGGTCAGGGTGAATAAAGAGCAGCTGTTCCCTTCTTTGAGGGATCAATCACGAGAGAGTATAGTTTTAGGGTAAGGGGCAGGAGTTTTTGGGACATTTGGGTAAAAAACCTTTACACTCAGCAGGTGATAGGAATCTGGAATTCATGCCTAGGAAGGTAGTGGAGTTTGGAAACTTTACAATCTTTAAAAAGATATTTTGATGAGTGCTTCAACTATCATACCATAATATTAGCGTTAATTATCAAATGTAAAAACACAATGTAGTTACAAAAAGTAACATCTTACTTTTATTTTTTCAGTATTTTGTGATAGAGTCCTCTTTCCAGACACGATATCCAAGAGGCTTATTTCAAAGTTCTGTGCTTGAGCATTTTCAGCTGCTTTAGGAATTAGCTTGAGTTTCCGAGCCATCGTATGGTAGTCTTGCAGTCTGACTTCCAGCTAAAGTAAAGCAATGGAAAATGGTGATTCAGCAATACAGAAATATGCAGTATACCAGTTAAGTCCATGAATCAAATCTGAGATTTTCCCCACTACTTGCTATCAAGTGAACCACAATTTTGCAAGATTTTCTACTCCACATAAGTAAACGAAGTCAACCTAGGTGACAACATTGGCAGTCATCACCTCAGGGCTGATTTCAGAAAAGTTGACTCCAAAAACTGTTTTTTCAGTCTAACTTTAGAAAGCACCTTCAGGACCTCCAACTTGAAAACTAAATCTTACAATTGAAAATACAAAGCACATTCCAGAAGAAAAAATACACACCAGTGAAACAATACAATTTCAGCACTGTCACACCGAACTAGCTGGGTAATGACAGTAAAGATCGTTCAGATTTTTTTTTCTGTATTATAAAAAGGGAAAGACTAGAAGAATCTCAAAACAAACTGTGTCCCTACAATCTTTTGGTTGGTTGATCACCCCAATGCAGGACAATATGTAATCTCCTGATGGTGACAGTTAGCTGTGGTTTGGTGCTGAATGTGTCCTCCAGTCAGAAATATATGTTCTGTAAGCGAGGTATAAGGTCAGGAAAAATTAGATTAGAATTTGATTGATAACTGGAAGAATAAAATAGGAGATCATCCATGTTGGACCTGAGAAGGATCAGAGTACTACTTAAATGGTGAAACTCAAACCATTGGAGGCCTAAAGAACTTTGGAAGTCCAGATAAATAGATTGCAATTATATTTGTTTATATTTTAAATAAACAGGCTAATGGAACACTGGCATTTATATCTAGATGACTAGAATACAACTGGGTAGAAATTATATTGTCGCCATAAAAATCTCAAGTGAGAATACACATGAAGTACCATGTTCAGTTCTGGACATCACACCAGGGTATTTGAGGGAGCACAGCATTGATCTATCAGAATGATAATTGGACTTCTTGGGTTAAACTAAAGTTACACAAATTAGGACACTAGAAGCTGATGTAGGTCTAATTGATAGATTTTTGTTAACTAAAGGTTTGAAGGGATATGGCAAGTACAGTTAGATCAACCATTAGACCATTGAATGATGGAATAGCTCATGGGGATAAACAGCCCATTCCACTTCCTACAAGTTTAACAATCTTGGCACACCAGAAAATCCAGTGTTCTTTATTTAGCTGCTGTAATTTTTTTACTTAAATGTAATTAACAGTTAATTAAGCACCTGACAATTTAGCCTCATTACGAGCACACCTCACCATTTCCTTGGCCTTTGTCACTTTAATCTCTTCATTCCACATCCTCTTTTCTGCATCCTCAAGGCTTTTGCTCAGGAAAATTGTTGCTTGATGCAGCTCATTTTTCTCATGGTTCATTTTCTTAACGTCAACTGCTGAGACTTCCTGTACATCATATATTTGCTGCAATTTGTTGTTCTCCTCTTTAACTGCATCTAATTCCAGTTCTTAAGGAAAGAGACAAAATATACATGATCCAATATGCACCCCTTATTTTAACAAGTAAATTATTTTGAAAGGGATATAAATCAATAAGCCTTACTCTAGAATCTCAAATCTTCAAATTTCCAGCATCTGCGGTATTTTGCTTTTGTGTTGTGGTAATGAATTAAGCAATTTCACTTGACACATGCATCATCAAGTTCTGTTCTTCTGATGGGATTTCTTTTTAGCTGTTTATGGTTTCTGTTTCCCTTATGTATAAAAATAACATTTTCAGAGCAACATTTTCCCATATTCTATGAGAATTCCAAATCTACCCTTCATTTTCAGATCCATCCAGACGTTTAACACTGCACAAATGGCCGTTCTTGCTGCATCCCAGGATGCACATTTTTGTGCTGCCGCACAAACATTCTTGACGGCAACACCAGTTCTGTCTCAAAGCTATCCTGGTTACCAGTTTCATTTCAGTTTTCATATCATCCAGGAATTTAACAAAAAACTTGTTCCCTCCTTTCAGCCCATCACTTCTCTTTGACCCAACCTTTCCACTAATCTCTCCTATTGCTGTGTATTCATGATATCTTTCAACTTTTGTAGTTTGATGTTATTTATTTGATTTGATCTGATCTGCAAAGTACTTAAGTTTTATTGTCTTACATCCGACCTTCATAAATGTTGAGCAAGGTACAATGTTGAGTTGTGGTTGTCACTTTCTGTGCACCCATGTTTTTGGCCGGGATCCTCTCCTATCTCATCAGATCCTTCCAACCATCTCCAATCTCGGGCGGTGGGGTGGTGCTCATTCACTCTCGAACATTTCATTCATGTGATGTCAGCCATCTCAGTTTTTCTTATCTGACTAGTCTCCCTCCCTAGGAGCTTGATACGTACTTGTTCCCTCAAAATTCAACATCAGCATCACTAATCCTGCTGACAAGTTCTTGAATGGCATACTAACCTCTACCAAGCAGTGGTTGAATGTCAACACTCTTTACATTTCCTCCTATCTCCCATTGATTATGATCCTCACCAAGATAAAGCTCCCAGGTTTTCCACTAATCTCATCTCTTCTGGAGATCTTCTTCTTCATAGCTTAAGATGATATGGTACAGGGAGTGGCTATTCAGCCCCTTGTTCCTATGTCAGCACTTTGAAAGAGCTATGAAATAAGTCCCACTTCTGAAGCCTTCCCCCATAGTCTAGAAACCTTTTGCCTTTCATCTCAGTCAGCAAATCCTGTGCAGCCTGCTTCTACCTCCTCCTTGTCCTTATCCACAGAAAGGATCATTCTGAGTTCTACCGTTCAAGCTATTCTTGCCCCACAAACGTTTTTCTTCCCAATTTGACTTTTTTTCTCTCCATTGACCTATTGAAAAAAAAATTCTATGAAAGGTCGTGAGCTGAAACTTTAGCTGTTTCTCTCTCCACAGATGCTGCCAATCTATTTCCAGCATTTGTTGCATATACTTCAAGTTTTCAGTATCCACAATTGTCAACGATACACAGATCCCATTAATGAACTTTAAAAACACAATAGCGGATTGAAGCTGGTGTACGATGACTTCTTTCTTTGATCTATATAACTGACTTGGACATTTGAATATAAAGTTAAATTTTTAAATTTTCCAACAATTCTAACCCATAGACATAGTTTTGCAGAATGTGCAGATGTGACAGGGGAATTTTAATAAGGAAAAATCTTATGTGATGCACTTTGGCAGAAGGAAATGAACCATAATATAGACTAGACAGCAATTCTAAAAAGTGTACAAGGACAGAGGGCCTAATGATTCACGCACACAGGTTTTTTGAAGGTGGCAGAACATATTGAGCTATTTATTTAGCATAGTACACAAACCATTTTGAGTTTCATGAATAGTGATCTCAAGTACCTAAGAACATAGGAAATAACAGCAGGAATAGGCCATCTGGCCCCTCGAGTCTGCTTCGCCATTCAATAAAATCATAGCTGATATTTCGCGGACTCAGCTCCACTTACCTGTCCACTCATCGTAACCTTTAATTCCTCTACTGTTCAAAAATCTATCTTTGCCTTAAAAACATTCAACAAGGTGGTCTTAACTCCTCACTGGGGAGGGAATTCCAAAGATTCACAACCCTTTTGGTGAAGACATTCCTCCTGAACTCAATTCTAAATTTGCTCCCCCTTATTTTGAGGCTATGCCCCCTACGTTATAATTTCACCCGCCAGTGGAAACAACATCCCTGATTCTATCTTATCTATTCCCTTCATAATTTTATATGTTTCTATAAGATCACCCCCTCATTGTTCTACATTCCAATGAGTATAGTCCTGGTCTACTCAGTCTCTCCTTGTAAGCCGAACCTCTCAACTCAGGAATCAACCTAGTAAATCTCCTCTGCACCCCTTACAGTGCCACTACATCCTTTCTCAAGTAAGGAGTCCAAAACTGCATGCAGTACTCCAGGTGTGGCTTCACCAGCACCCTAGGCAGCTGCAGCATAACCTCCCTGTTTTTCAAATTCCATCCCTCTAGCAATGAGGTCAATATTCTATTTGCCTTCTTAATTACCTGCTACACCTGCAAACTTAACTTTTGAGATTCATGCACAAGGACACTCAGGTCCCTCTGTACTGTAGTGTGCTGCAATTTTTCACCATTTAAATAATGTCCATCTTGCTGTTATTCCTACCAAAATGGATGACCTCACATTTACCAACAATGTACTCATCTGCCAGACCCTTGCCCGCTCACTTGGAAATAATTGCGGTCTCAACACTGATCCCTGAGGCACACCACTAGCCACTGATCGCCACCTAGAAAAAAACACCCATTTATCCCCACTCTTTGCTTTCTGTTAGTTAACCAATCTCCTATCTATGCTAATACATTACCTGTAATGCCATGCACCTTTTTTATCTCGTGCAGCAGCCTTTTGTGTCGAATGCCTTTTGGAAATCCAGATACACCTTATTCACGGTTGTTCACCACACTCGTAATACCCTCAAAGAATTACAGCAAATTAGTTAAACATGACCTGCCTTTCATGAATCCATGCTGCATCTGTCCAATGGGACAATTTCTATCCAGATGTCTCACGGTTTCTTCCTTGAAGATAGATTGAAGCATTTTCCCACTACAGAAGTTAAGCTAATAGGCCATTAGTTACCTGCCTTTTGTCTACCTCCTTTTTTCTTAACTAAAATAGCAGCACACATTTGCTGTTTTTCAATCTTCCAGAACTGCTCCAGAGTCTAGTAAATTTTGGTAAATTATCACAAATGCATTTGCCATTTCCCCTGCCATCTCTTTTAGTAATCTGGGATGCATCCCATCAGAGCCAGGAGACTTGTCTACCTTTAGCCCCATTAGCTTGCCCAACGCTACCTCTTTAGTGATAATGATCATTTCTAGGTTCTCACGTGCCATAGCTTCCTTGTCATTGGCATGTTATTTGTGTCTTCCATTATGAAGACTGACAAAAAATACCTGTTCAACGCTTTTTTTCATCTCATTTCCCATTATTAAATCCCCCTTTTCATCCTCTACAGGACCAATGTTTACCTTAGCCACTCTTTTTCGTTTTATATATTTGTAGAAACCTTTGCTATCTGTTTTTATATTGAGCTAGTTTACTCTCATAATCTATCTTTCTTTATAGCTTTTCCCATGGCTTTCTGATGACCTTTAAAGATTTCCCAAAATCCTAATTTGCCACTAATCTTTGCCACTTTGTATGCATTAGCTTTCAATTTGATACCCTTCTTTATTTCTTTAGCTATCCATGGCTGAACACAAAAGCAGGAAAGCCATTTACAAACTGCTACCTCTTTGTGGGCTGTCATTGGTTTCTAACTCACAGTTGCCCTTGAGAAGATGGTGCTAAACCACCGTTTTGAACTGCTAAAAGCTCTTTAGATACAAGATTAGGTTAGATACGCTAATGCTATTCTCCTTGGAGCAAAAAAAGAAAAAGTTGAGCTAAGACTCAACAGAGATGTGGAACATCACAACAGCTTTATATTATACAATGTCCAAAGAAAAGCTATCCCCATCAGCTTATGGAATAAGGACTAAGTGACACATGAGGCATGAGCCAAAGAGGCAGGGGGATTAGAGGAGAATCTATTCTTGATACAGTGATTGGTAATGATTAAAACCTCACTGTAAAAGGGTGATAGATGTTGTGATGAGTGCCTTCGAAAGGAAGTTGGATGGGCACTTGAGTGGAAGAAACTTACAGGATGATAGGCATCCAGAGCAAATGAGACTGAGTGAAGTGCTCTACAAGGAGCTGACAAGAGCTAAAGGAGCCAAATGGCCTTCTGTGCTGTAAGTGCTCTAAAATGGAAATGATAATGGAAAGAGTAGTCCAACATAGTTTGATCAAAGGTATTTAGTAATTACTTTCAGAATACTTCAATTTACCTTAGCAAAATAACCTTAAAGATGCAATGCTATTTTGTTACAATTAAAATTATTCACCATCTCATTACTCTTCAAAATCAACACAAAACTATGGAAATAAATACCTGCAGATTCTATTTCATCTTTGATCCCTTTTGCTCTCTGCTCAAGAAGAGCTTTGTGCTGTTCCATTTCTTCAAGGTACTTCTTGTATTTCTGTTGGTCCTTTTGCAAACTAACTTTTGTTTTCTCCAGTGCCTGAACTCTGTCCTGAAATCAAAAGTCATGTTAATTATGAATTGCTCTATCATGACACAGCTCTGGAATTTTTTTTGTTTGAGTTAAATGCTCAGCTTTTACACACACATTTCCAATAATTAATTGGATTTTTGAAATAAAACAAATGCAAGCATTAATTACTTCCTTGTGAACATATACCAGCTTGGAAAGTTTAAATGATTGAACTTGTGTAGTCTAAGAAGTCATGAGGGTAAAGGCAAATAAACAAGAAAAGGCAAGTGGCATTGAAGCTACCTTTAGAAATGTGGTGTCCTACACCTCTTTGGCACTTTGATACAGACTGCACAACTAGTCCCTAACAAAGCTGATATTAATGAAATTGAACCTGAAAATCTACTGCAAGAATAGTCAATGATCTAAAATAACTCAATACACCTAAAGTGACACCACAAGGTTGGTGGGGTTGTGGACAGCATGGAGAGCTGTTGTAGGTTGCAACGGGACATTGACACGATGCAGAGCTGGGAAAAGAAGTGGCAGATGGAATTCAACCCAGAAAAGTGTGAAGTGATTCATTTTGGAAAGTCGTATTTGAATGCAGAATACAGGATTAATGGCAGGATTCTTGGCAGTGTGGAGGAACAGAGGGATCTTGGGGTCCATGTCCATAGATCCCTCAAAGTTGCTACCCAAGTTAATAAGGTTGTAAAGAAGGCATACGGTGTGTTGGCTTTCATTGGCAGAGGAATTGAGTTTAAGAGCCGTGAGGTTATGCTGCAGCTCTATAAAACTCTGGTGACACCACACTTGGAATAGTGTGTTCAGTTCTGGTCACCTCACTATCGGAAAGATGTGGAAGCGTTAGAGAGGGTGCAGAGGAGATTTACCAGGATGCTGCCTGGATTGGAGGGCAGCTCTTATGAGTAAAGGTTGAGGGAGCTAGGGCTTGTTTCGTTAGAGCGAAGAAGGATGAGAGGTGACTTGATAGAGGTGTACAAGATGTTGAGAGGCATAGATAGAGTGGATAGTCAGAGACTTTTTCCCAAGGCGGAAATGATTGTTACGAGGGGGGGGCATAATTTTAAGGTGATTGGAGGAAGGTATAGGGGAGATGTCAGAGGTAGATTCTTCACACAGAGAGTGGTGGGCGTGTGGAATGTGCTGCCGGCAGTGGTAGTGACTCAGATACTTTAGAGACTTTTAAGCGACTCCTGGATAAGCACATGGAGGATAGTAAAACATAGGGTATGCAGGGTAGATTGATCTTAGTAGGATAATAGGTTGGCACAACATCGTGGGCCGAAGGGGCCTGTACTATGCTGTACTGTTCTTTGTTCTATGTTCTATGACTGAACACCAACTTCTTGTGGAAAATCCTTCTTCTGAATGGGAGCCACAAAACCCCCTCCCCAGTCCAAGCATATTTCAATCCTCCCTGTCCAGAGCTATTCAATAACTTGTAGCTCCCAGTTCCTTCTCGAGCCCTGTAAAACTTTAGGTATTTAAAGACTTCAACACAGCCATGAGACCACTTGAAACTATGATTAGATACCAAGAGGACAAGTCACCAAATGGGGTGCTATAAGGCAGGACCAAGGTGTAAAGGAAGAATTTGTATTTGTAGCACTTACGGAGCAACAAAAAAAATCTCCAAACCAGCATTAACAAACTTTGACACTAAGACACTAGCTTATATAGCAGGTGACCAAATGGTTTTGTCAAGAAGGTAGGTTTTAAATCGTACCTTAAAGGGAAAGACAGAATTATATTTCCTTTATTCATTCAAGAGATGAGGGCATCGCTGGCTTGGGCACCATTTGTTGCCCAGATGGCAGTTAAGAGTCAACCACATTGCTGTGGGTCTGGAGTCACATGTAGGCCAGACTAGGTAAGGATGGCAGTTTCCTTCCCTAAAGGACATTAGTGAACCAGATTGGTTTTTCCAACAATCAATTCATGGTCATCGTTAGATTCTTAATTCAAGGAATTTATTGAATTCAAATTCAACGATCTGCCGTGGCAGGATTCGAACCTGGGTCCCCAGAATGTTATCTGGGTCTCTGGATTAACAGACCAGCGATAATTACCACTAGGCCGCCACCTCCCCATAAGTGCAAAACAGGCAGAAAGGTTTAAGCTGGTAATTCCGAGCTTTGAGCCTTGGCAGCTGAAGGCATAACAGGCAAAGGTGGAGTGATTAAAAATTGGGAACATTCAATAAGCCAGATGTGGAGCAGCTATAGATATCAGTCTGATTGGGATGGAAGAGATAGGAAAGGGAGATTCAGTGGATGAATCTGAAAACAAGATTGAGAACTTTAATAGAGGTGCCACTACACTGGGATCTGATATGGGTCAGCAAAACAATATGGTGGTGAATAGAATCTGGTGAGATTTAGGACACTAACAGATTTTTGGATGACCTCAAGTTTACAGACAGTAGAACATTAGGCCAACTAGTTTGCTGGGATGATTCAGTCTAGAGGCAAGTCATGGATGAGGACTTCAGAGAATGAACAAACTCAGGCAAACTTAGTGTTGATATGGATTCATGGCCAGAAAGTTATCGTGGGTCAAATATAGCACCATGGTTGCAAACAGTGTGTCTCAGCCACAGACAACTTTCAGGGAGAGGAATGGAATTTGTGACTTGGACAAAGACAATGATTTCAGTTTTCCTCATATTTTCAGACATTTCTGCTCATCCAGTATGGTATGTCTGTCAAGCAATATAACACAGGGGCAGCATAGTGGCTCAGTGGCTTGCATTGCTGCCTCACAGCACCAGGGACCCAGGTTCAATTCCAGTCTTGGGTGACTGTCTGCATGGAATTTGCACATTCTCCTCATGTCTGCGTAGGCTCCCTCCAGGTTGCTCCAGTTTCATCCCACAGTCCAAAGATGTGCGGGTTAGGTGGATTGGCCATGCTAAATTGCCCATAGAGTCTAGGGATGTGTAGGCTGGTTGGATTAGCCATGAGAAATGCAGGGTTACATGGATAGGGTAGGGGTGTGGGTCTGGGTGGGATTCTCTTCAGAGTGTTGGTGTGGATTCGATGGGCCAAATGGTCTGCTTCCCCACTGTAGGGATTTTAGGATCTAGGACATTTACGATACAGCAGAGGGCATAAGCATACAAAAATAGAAAATGTAGTTCATCAGGTTTTGAACAATGCCATTTAAAACAGCATTCAGCAATGGTGGTCAAATTCAACCTTGAAAATCCCTGGATCTCTAGATTACTGCTATTACCATGTACAATTGAGCACAGAAACAGAAGAATAAAGCAGAAGAAGTGAATAGTTGGACAGCTGCTGGAGAGAGATGGACTTGTACAGACCAGAAGTGCTTTATAAAAGTAAAGCTTAAGACTTAGGCGGAACTAGGAGTGAGTTCCTTGTGGGTATCTTGCTAGTGCTGTTGAGGAGGGGTTAAAGTAATTTGGCAGGTGTGGAAACCAAGAGATAATTGGATTAAGGAATACCAAGTACACAGAGCGCTGGAGAGATGCATAGCACCGGGATAAGAATAGTCAATAAATAGATGGGGTTACAGTAAATGGGAATAAATAAAATTCTACATCACAGTTACTGTTCAGATATGTGAATGCATGTAGTGTTGAAGAAAGAATGGTGAGTTATAGATGTGGAAAGAGACAAGAATTCCCAAAGCATTTTCAGGAAAATTTTCTGGAACAGTGTTTCCAGTCAAAGGACAAAGGCAATCCTGATAGACCTGGTTCTTGGGAATGAGGGTGGCCAAGTTGATAGAATGTCAGTAGGACAACATTTAGGAGACAATGATCACTGTATCTGAAGGTTTAGGGTGACTATGCAAAGGACACTGAACATCCCAGATTAAGAAAAGTAAACTGGAAGAAAGCCAATATCAACAGGAATGAATCTTGATAGAATAAATGGAGCCATAGCTTGTCAGGAAAGTCGGCAGCTGAACAATTGGTTAACTTCAAAAGAGAATATATTTTGAGCAGTCAAAGCATATTCCTTCAAAAGGCAAGGCAAACAAAGCTAAGTTTCCCTTGATGAGCAAATAGATAGAAATTGTGAAGAAAATGGGCACTTCTGATATAAAATAGGTAGAATACATAACTGAGAATCAAGCTGAATATCGAAGGTTCAGATGGGATAAGAAAAATCAAAGCAGCAAAGAGAGAGTATAAAAAGAGAATAGCACACAACCTAAAAAGCAAGCCCCAAAATTTTCTATAAGCATATAAATATTAAAAGGGTCTAACTGATGAGGATCAACAAAACTGATTTACATATAGAGACATAGGACATAGCTAAAGTGTTAAAACAAATTCTTTGCAGGCTATTGGCCAAGCATTGGAAAACAGAATTAAAATAGTTAGGTGGTTGTTCTTGCCTGGCATGGACACAAAAGGCTGAATAACTTCTGTCTGTGCTGTAGATCGCTATGATGCTATGCTGCACACCTTGTGTTGATAGGTTGCCAGACATGGCCATTTCCACCAAACGAAAGTCTAACCAATGAATTTCAATGGCAATGACATTGCTAAATCATCTACATTTAAATCCGGAGATCATTACAATCTTAACTCAACCTCCATTCAAACACAGTGATTACAAGAGCAGCTTGAAGACTGGATATTCTACATCAAGTGACAAACCTAATTCCATAATATCTTTGCACCATCCACAAGGCACAAGTCAGGAAGGTGACAAAATACTCTCCACTGATCTGAGAAAATGTAGCTCCAACAATACTTATGCAGCTCAAAAACAGCCCATTTCAGCATCACTATTTCATTCTGGTTCCTGCAGTTTTTGAACCACAGAGGGGTGGGGGGGGAAAGAGAAGAATGGGTGAATTCCCCTCAAAGTCACAAGTAGCTGGCTAAAAAACTAATATAGGTGAAAAATTAATGAAGGGCTCCCACCCACCTACAATATTATCATTAAAAAATCAATATACGTAATAAAATATACAAATGTATCATATTACAACAGCACAAAACAACACATCAGACATCTGAAATCCCAACCAAACTTACAAACACAAGGGGCCAACAGTGCAACCTTTTCAACTGTGCCACAATTCAAATTCAAACATATATAAGTGACACTTCTTTGATGCCACAGCTCCTTCTGCCACATTCCAGCAACCCCTCTCCATTGTTTCCTCTGACCCACCAACCCTGCTAATAATCCAAGGTCCCAAAACTAATTGTTGAACATTACCGGATCATAAATCATTGTGCTAATACTGTTGCACTTAGCACCCATCACATTCTTGCTCCCTGTAAATCTTCTTTAAGATTCAGCTTTAAATTCAGCTTCATATAATTCTGAATTATTTTTGCATTTTCATAACCAAGGTCAAACCAGAAGTATTATCATTATACTCCTCTAAAATGAAATTATGGATATGTAGCATCTATTTGTGAAAGTGATTCGCACAACAAGAAACAGAAGCATCAGTATTTGCTTTAATGTGAAAAAGTGCAAATGAGAAAGACAAAGGACATTACCAACCGGTTCATTCTGTTTCTCTTTCTCCAACTTCTCCAGCTCTTCTGCCAAATTTCTGTTTTCTGCAGTGACAGCATCAAATTGGGCTTCATCCACTCCAAAATGTTGCTCTACAATGCACAACATAGATATTTTTCAATAAATCATTTCAATTTAAACTAGAGATCTCAATTGCTATCAGTAAAAGGTATTACAAGGCTTCTGATTTTGACATGCAGTAAGCAAATAGCTAAGGACATCAGCCAGATCATAGATAAGAAAGTTGTTTCTGGATTCAAAAATAATTAAAATGCTTAGAAATATTTCAATTAATCAAGTAAACCAATGACTAAACCCCACAAGCAAAAAAGAACAAAAGAGAAATACAGCAAAGAAACAGGCCCTCCAAGCCTGTGCCAACCATCATGTCCTAACTAAACTAAAAAAAAAGCACAAATCTTCTGCCCTTATTCGGCTCGTAACCCTCTATTCCTTCCCTATTCATGCAACTATCCAGATAGCTCTTAAAAGTTGCCAACATGCCTGCTTCCACCACCTCCTCTGGTAGTGGGTTCCAAGCTCTTACCATTCTCTACATGAAAAACTTCCCTTGCACATCTCCCTTAAACTTTCCCCCTCTCACCTTGAGCCTGTGGCCCCTTGTAATTGAAACTTCAACCCTGGGAAAAAGCCTCTGACTATTCACCCTATCTATGCCTCTCATAATTTTGTAGAACTCTATCACGTCTCCTCTCAGCTGCTGTCTGTCCAGTTGAAACAATCCTAGTGTTTCTAACCTTCCTCAAGCAGGCTTGAGATGAGATAGTAGGAACTGCA